CAAATCTTGAACCATTTCCTTCACCTGGTTAATTGTTTTTTCTTGGCTTTCTGTACTTTCCTGAAGGAATTTGTTCATTTCTTCCACATTTTGTTTGTTTTTTCCTCTATTTCTTTAAGGGATTTTCTCATATCTTCTTTGAGGGCCTCTATCATTTTTATGATGGTGATTTTTAAGTCGTACCCTTCTGCTTCCTCTGCTTTGTTGTTGTGTTCCATTCTAGTTGGTGTAGATTCCCTAGATTCTGGTGGTGTCATGTTTGTCTTTCTGTTGTTAGGTGTTCTCTTGTATTGCCTTCTTCCCATAGTTTCTTCCTGTAGGTGTTGGTGGTGTCTCTTCCCTCTCTCTATGGTCCTTCCCAGATGGGCTTATGTGGATCAAAGATTCAATGTCTGTATCTCTGTGTGGTCCAAGCTCTCTAGGAGGCTTCTCTCTGGCCAATAGCCGGCAGAAGAGGACGAGGGCTGGACTGGAACTTGAGAAGGTTTTGCAGGGTAGTGGGATCTCACTGGAAACTGGCACTCTCCAGCTGAGACCTCGTTCTTTGGCCCCTTTACTCCATTTTTAAATTTTACTTTTTTTGCTATACTAACCCCAGTTGGTATCTATACTAAATTTCATAGAAACTTTGGAAATGGCATTATTTGTAATTTATCTGGTACCTGAAGAATGGAATAAATTTTGGTTGCAGTGATGAGAAACTGCTAAATAATTAACTTACAGTATCATATAATGGTCAGACCAGAATGCAAATAGTTTCATATATTTTGAACAAAAGATTTGTGAAGATGAAGCACATAGTTGAACAATTACACTAAAATATTAAAGATAATTGATTTCAGAAACCAGTAAAAACTTCAAGAATACAAACCACTTGAATATATATCATAAAAAATAAATTAATAAAATATATTGATTCCAATGAATCTATACCATACAGAGAAAGTTCAGTTTATTGACTTTTGTTTTGGTTGAACACAGGATTCTAAAAAATTTTTTATTAAATTCCCTTGTTCCTATGTGTATTTTTAAAAGCTTTAAAATACAGTATTTATAATATTTCATGGATTTAAATTCCTCATAATAGTGTATTCTAAAATAAATATAAAAAATTGAGAGCCACCGAGGTTTGAGAACATGGAGAGGATATAAATAGAGTGAGATTTGGGGCACATATACACATTTGACTGACTAAAAAATTAGATAAATTTTCTCAACACTGCTCAGTTTCCATAAATGAAGTAAAACTGTATGATGCTATTAAACCATAGAGTATATGATGACATTTTCACCATATGTATGATTAGTCTTATAGAGACTGGGCATAATGTCCAGCTTCTCTTCAGAAAATAGAAGATAAATACATTTCCAATGTACTTACATGTATACTTCTTTTATTTTATTTTATTTTTATTTTACATATTGATCCCAGGAACCTCTCCCTCCCTCTATCCCTCTTTCCCTCTCCCCTATGCTCTGATGCCCCCTGAATCTCTCCTCTCCCATCCACCCCCACTCCACATGTAGGGTGATGCCTTCCAGAAGGGGTCATCTAAATCTGTCAAGTTATTTGGAGTAGGGACTAGGCCTTCTCTCCTGTATCTAGGTTAAAGGAGTATCCCTCCATGGGGGAATGTGTCCCCAAAGTCAAAGTCATTTTATGCAACAGGGATGCATCCTGGTTCCACCGTCTGAGGTCCCTTAGACTCCCCAGGCCTTCTATCTGAGACCCATTTTCAGGGGGTCTGAGTCAGTCCTATGCTGGATTCCCAGCTATCAGTCTGGTGGCTGGTTAGCTCCTCTTTGTTCAGGTCAGCTGTCTTTATGTGTTTCTGTAGCCTGGTCTTGTCCTCCCTCTCTACATCTGGATTCCAGTTTGGCTCAGTGTTTAGTTCTGGGTGTTTGCTACTAGATGAGGGCTCTATGTTGGTAGTTAAGACAGTAATCAAACTCAATATCGGGGAAGGGCATTTATGGTAGCATTTCCACTGTTATTCAAATTGTTAGTTGGGTCAGTCTTGTAGGTCTCTGGACATTTTTCTAGGTTAAGTTTTCTCTTCAAACTATAATGGCTCCCTCTTTTGTGGTATCTATCTATCTCTTATCTTCTCTTCTCTTGTCTATTCCTCCCATGACTCAAACTTCCTAGACCCACATGCTTTCCTCTCCTCCCCTTCTCTTTCTCCTAGTTTCCTCTCCACTCACTGGCCACCTCACTCCCCATATGCTCTGGAAATCTTGTCCCTTTCCCCTTATGTGAGGAACCTTATATGAATCTCTTAGAATCCTCTTTGTGTTCTAGTTTCTTTGGCGATGTGAATTATAGGCTGGTGATATTTTCTTCAATGGCTAAAATCCATAAATAAGCAAGTACATACCATGTTCCTCTTTTTTGGCTGGGTTACCTCATTCAGGTAACCTTTGAATTGCCTATGAATTTCAAGTTTCCATTTTTTTTTTCACCACAGTAGTATACCATTGTGTAAATGTACTACATCTTCTTTATCCATTCTTCAATTGAGGGGCATCTAGGTTGCTTCCAGGTTCTTGAAATTACAAATAATGCTGCTGTGAACATAGTTGATCACATGTCTACCACCAGACCCAGCAATCCCCCTCTTAGGCATATACCCAAATGATCCACATCCATGCTACAAAGACATATGCTCATCATGTATATTTCTTAAAAACAAATCCACGGTCAATATCAAAATCTATTGGCTGTGCTCATTTGTCCTTGATATAATCAATAACCATCAGTTACCAATCTTATGAATAAAGCTAGATGGAATTTAAATGTTTACTAAGCCTCAATAAATCTGCACTGATTTATCCCAACGACAAATATCCTAAGGCATCTTTTGTTTGCAAAAATCCAATTTTCCATCTCTTAGTACTTATTTCTACAAAGAAAATGTCTTTCAAATAATTCAAAAAGACAGATTTAGAAACACTGATGTAGGCTAGTGATGTAAATGCAGTCTCTGAGTTTATTTTTGTATTGATTTGGGCATGGATTTGGCAGTTAAACACTAATGGCTGAGTAAATTTTAAAAGCTCACAGTAGAGAAAGTTAACATTTTTAAATATTTCCACAATGAATTCAGGTTTTATTATTTTGCTTGCTAACTGAAAATTACATATATCCTAAGTGTCAGTAAATGAATAATGATTTATGCTTGATGTCTTGAAACTAAATACAGGTATGAAGAGCTGAAGGTTTTTGTTTTGCTTTGTTGAACTCTGGCTAGAATACAATATATGTTATAACACCTAATCATTTTTAAATAAATATAAAACTCAAAGTATTTTGATACTTCTATTCACTGGTTTAGATAAAACTGTCTATCAAAATCAGAGATAATACAAAAACTGAAAGAGAATGTCCATCCTTCCATGGACAGATTCTGTTCTTGGCAAATACTATCACTCCTCCATTTGATCCATTTTTTCAGTGCAACTGAAAAAAAACTGAATATTTTATTGTGTAAGTTACAAAGATGTGGGTAGAAGAAAGTCCTCAGTACCCATCCAGAACTGTCATTCCAAATTATGTCATTGAGATATGGAATAGTATCTTCATCATGATATTTCTCAATGAATGGCAACATTGGGAAATCAAATCTTACAAAAATTATTAAAAATGACAAATAATATACACTACCAAAATTCACATATAGAAACATGAAACAAAGGTGACATTTTTCACATGTAGATAATTTATGTGGTAATTTGCTCATGTTGTCTCTTTATTCTTTGGCATTACCAGTGTTTTTTGTTTTTTTATTTTGTTTTGTTTTGTTTTTTGTTTTTTTGCTTCTTTTGTTTTTGAGATTGTAACACAATTACATAATTTTCTTTTCCTATTCTCCCTAAAATATTTCCCATACAACCCTCCTCACTCTCTTACAAACTCATGGCCTATTTTCTTATAAATTGCTGTCACATGTACACACATGTGTACATGTACACACATGTGTTACATGTACACACATATTTCTACATACAACCTGGTCAGTCTATAATATAACTCTTCCATTTTGATGGCTGACAATTTTGCTAACCAAAGATTGTGCTATTCTGTGAAGAAGATAATCTATCCTATTTCAATATTCCTTAGATGTCTATAGTTCTCTGCATAGGGCTGTTGTCTGATGGTTTTTCTCCCACCCACTTTGTCATGTCTATTCTTTTTACCCTTGATCATCTTGTGTTTAAGCAGGCATGTTTGTTGGCCTTTATGGATATTGATTGTGACGTTACTAAGAGATATAGACTAACATCAAACTCACTGATCTACCTCTTATAATCTTTCCAACCAGCTCTCCTTCAATTTTCAAAGAGCAATGCATGACAGAGTAATACAACTCTAAATTTACATTGTTTGTGGCTTTTATCCAATAGTCTCTGACTGTTTGAGTTAAGTGTCCATGATGAGGGTGAGGGCTATACTTATTTTTGTGTATAAGAAAAACATATTTAGAATGAACTAGAGATTGCACTGGTTTAGTAAAGTGTTTGTTACACGTTATTTTCAAAGATACAAAGTGGGTAGAGTTTGTATGTCCAAGGAGCCACATGAAGCCACATGTGAGACAAAACTTGTGATTGATAGATATACCATAAGATGCATGGAAGCAGCTCATTTTATGTTCTTGCCCTGCATAATATACAAACTTATAAAAGGAAAAATGTGTTTTCATGAATAATCCAACCAAAGTATAATATGGTGGAAACATGACTATTATGTGACAGCATGCTGTTGCTTTTGTAAAATACCAAAACCATCATGAGCATTTAATGTAAATATGAACAAATTATTTAATAAAAAATGATAAACATTAGAAATAGAGATTAAATCTACAAATCAACCACATTTAAATTTCCACATAACATGAGACTAAGCCTACTTTAGCTATGATTTACCATTGTATTAGATTAGCATATCTCATACATAATAGCAAAAATTAAGACTGACAATAATTCCCTTTCTATACTAGACTTAGATGAATGTGTGAAGTGTCCTGATGATCAGTATGCCAACACAGATCAAACTCACTGCCTCAAAAGGGTTGTGACATTTCTGGCTTATGAAGACCCCTTGGGAATGTCTCTGACCTGTTGCGCTCTATTCTTCTCTGCTCTTACAGCTGTTGTACTCTGTATCTTCCTGAAGCACCAAGACACTCCAATTGTCAAAGCCAATAACAGAGCTCTCAGCTATGTCCTACTTGTCTCCCTCATCTTTTGCTTTCTCTGTTCCTTGCTCTACATTGGCCAACCACATACAACCACTTGCATCATGCAGCAGACCACATTTGCAATTGTGTTCACTGTGGCCACCTCTACAGTCTTGGCAAAGACAATTACTGTAGTACTGGCATTCAAGGTCACTTTTCCAGAAAGAAGGGTGAGGTCACTGCTGGTTTCAGGGGCACCTAATTTCATCATCCCCATATGCACTATGATTCAAATGATTCTCTGTGGAATCTGGGTAGGAACTTCTCCTCCATTTGTGGAAGCTGATGTACACATGGAATATGGCCACATCATCATTATTTGCAACAAAGGTTCAGTAATTTCCTTCCACTGTGTACTGGGATACTTGGGCTCTCTTGCCCTAGCAAGTTTCATTGTAGCATTCCTGGCCAGAAAACTGCCTGACACATTTAATGAAGCAAAGTTCCTGACATTTAGCATGCTGATGTTCTGCAGTGTTTGGATTACCTTTCTAGCTGTCTACCACAGCACCAAAGGCAAAGCCGCAGTGGCCATGGAGGTCTTCAGCATCTTGGTCTCAAGTGCAGGGCTCTTTATTTGTATCTTTGCCCCAAAATGCTACATTATTTTGTTAAGACCACAGTTAAATTCTTCTCACAATCTCAGAGTCACAAATGCTAAAGCAGAATATAGTCATTAGATTAATCTAGATTATTTACAATGGCAAACAGATCCACAAAGCTGTTCTCTACTCATTATATTGTGTCAAATATATAAAATGTCTACATGTGTAATGTAGAAAATAAGCTGCATAATAAAATTTTAAAGCATGATGTAGACCTCAGTTCTATGGATCAACCTTGTGATCAGCCACTTTTTCTTGTGTCACATTTGAGGAACCGTGGGGCATTTATTAAGTTCTGTACTACAATGCTGGGACATTATAGGAATGCTTAAGGTCAGAAAACTCTATTAAGTGATTTTAATAGGTAGATCCTTCTACTTGAATATTAGTGGGAACTTAGATTAGAGACAGAGAAGAGGCCAAAGTAGTACTTATTAAATTATAAAACTTGGTATTTCTATTCACTTTTCTAAAAATGGTATAAGGTTAAGAACTACAGTGTATATTGGGACCACATTATCATTTACAACCATGTAGTTGTCAATATTCTGTAAGCTTATTGTAACATTTTCATGTACAAGACATAGGATTGCCTTGAAGTGTTCCAAAGGTATTGTAGTCAATAGTTAATGATTTATCAAGAGATTGTAAATTTTTCCTAAATTCATCACTTAAATCATATTTGGCCTTTAAAAAAAAAAAGTCATTGATTTCCTTAAAGAACATTGCCAGGAATAAACTATTAATGAAATTGCAGGTAAGGTGGCATTCCTTTGAGGATAACACTTACAGATACCACCAAAATGCAACTTTGTTTTCCTATAAGTTTTATTTAATTACTTACAGGAACAGAAATGACTCAACAAAATCTATTCAAGCATAAGATGCAGCACAAAAACCTGGGATCTTAGAGTACACTGCCTAGCCTGCATGCAAATCAAATTGTTGGAAAGGGAGTCGTTAGTACAGATGATGCCTGTCTAAACCTCTTGCAGACAGCTTACCTTGTTTCTACTTCAAGTCAGTTGGTCTGTTTTCAAGGTCTTCTTTTTGAAAATTCTCCTGAGAGCCCTTTTGCAGCTCTGCTTCTATTTGTGTGGGAGTGACATTCAGCTGTTATTGCCAAGTATGGTAGAGAGATGACTAGTTATTCTACTCGATTTCAGGGATTTACTGAAGCTATTATGAGTTGTTTACCTTTCTTCTTGAAGAGCTTGCCACACGTTAGAGTGTCTTAATCTCAGGTAAACCACTAGACAACACTCCATCCATTCTTCTTGCTCTATAATTATAACACCTCTTCTTCTGCAATGATTCCTGAGCCTTGGAGTTATGTCCATAGATGTCTATCAATGCCTAAGTAATAGGCTAACATGTCACAGTAATAGATACTTGGTCTCAGAAGCTTCACTAACAGTTACTAGTTGAGGATGACAACCACCATAATCTATGGGTGCAAACCACATGTTTAGAATGCCATTTGACAGGCATGTCACGTTAATCTAGAAAACAATAGAAATTATTTTCTCAGCCACAATATTTTGCTCTGGCTTACAACTCCAAGTTTAAACTCCTCTTGTTTAGAGGAACTTGAATCCAAGTAGAAGATTGTTAGTTTTACCCATGATAACTGAGCCAATATTGCACAAACCAGCATACCCTGCCTGGAATGATTGTGGGACAGCTTTCAGGATCTAGAGCCAAGTGTGAATTTATAAATAGCCAGCATGTTTCTGCCTCCCCAAAATACAAAATCCATCTAGTGTTGTGAGAGCTTACAGTCCAGTCCAGTCTAATTTTCCATTTCCTGCTATCAAAATGCAAACATGCAGTATCTTTCCCTACTGGGCCTACCATCTAGTCCTGACATCTAGTCCTAAAACCAACAGCATTAGCAGTATAGCTTTTATGATTTATGAGGCTCCAAGGTCTTCCGTGGCCAACACCACATAGGAAAGTAGCACATTTCTAGCACTGATGTTTTCATTCAGTAACCTAATGACCTATGGAATATCCATTTTTTCTCATATAGATTGCATTTTGGTTTTTGTTGATGTTGTTATTCTATTAATTAACCTAGACCAAATAAGGTTGCAAAATAGTTGCAAGTATCATAGTTGTTTATACAATTGCTTTCTAAAACTGGAAAAACAATCATTGCTTAATGAATAGGTACAATAAATTAACTAAAGTAGCTGCTCCTTGACTTAAAAGAGGTAACACATATTCCAAATTCTCAAGGTTATTTTTTTGGAAAGCAGAGTGTAGTGGTAGAATAAAAATCCCTCTAGGTTAATGAATAATGCACTGTTGGCCAATAAGAGAGCAAGATAGGCAGGAGTAGGAGACAAAGAAGATTCAGGGAGAAGAGATATAGGAGAGATTCAACATGTAGGACTTGAGAGAACAGAGTACCAGATCCTCTCTCTGATAAAATAGAACACATAGAAATACTTTGATTAATAGAAATGGGTTAACATTTAGGACAGAGAGAGAGAGAGTTCTGAAAAACAGGTTGTCTCTATAGGTAAAATAGTACTTCTAGCTCATATAACTTTTTAAACTTTCTTCTACCTGACCAGATTGGTTCACATAGTAGCAAAAAAAGTATTCTTCTTTGAGGACGAGACAAGTGACTCCCTTCCAGCAGTTAGCAGGTCAAGGACCCTTCATTTTTATAAGACTACGAAGTCCAGAGAAGTGATCTGCTGTTTAGAGTAATTGTAGAGCCAAGGTTGATTCCTCAATGTTTTCTGCTCACTGAGTATATATCCGCTGAAAAAGATACAGACTGTGACTCAAATCACCCATAGCCAAACCCATGCATCGCAATTTGCCATACAAATGCCAATCATGACTGAGAGGACTGTAGAGGACTGGAGACATGTATAGAATTCACCTCGCAGAGTGAGGAAACTGGTTACATGAATGCATTTGTCTATACTCTGGTAAAGTAAGAATTGCCACAAAAAGAGTTCCTTCCAGGGATGGTAAGGCTTCTGAAATTGGTATGTTTGTATGTGCTGGTGAAGGGCAGGAATATGAATAGAAGAAGAATCTCAGCACAAAAACTGAGAAAAATTTTTTAACAAAATCATAAAAGAAAATTTCCATAACCTCAAGAAGGGTACGTAAAAAGTTGACAGAATACTAGAGTTCCTGCCTGCTGGATCTTTGACCCCCATTGCCTGGCCTCTGCTAGATACCTACCTATCCATGCATTCAGGATCACCCAGAATACCCACCTGCCTGACCTCTGACCAACCCTGCTGGTCCTCTGCTGGAATTCCGGGCCCCTCCCAAAGATCTGCCTATCCCCTTGGGACCATACTGAGTCCCTACCTGGATCTTTGATACCCATTGCCAGGCCTCTGCTGGAGCCTAATCTTTAACTCCTATCACCAGGCCTCTCCCTCAGGAGAGACCTCCTAGAGAGCTTGGACCTCCCAGAGCTACAGACATTAAACTTCTGACCCACCTAAGTCCATAGGGGAGTATGAGAGAGAGAGAGAGAGAGAGAGAGAGAGAGAGAGAGAGAGAGACCCCACCAACACCTACTGGAGGAGGTGATGGGAAGATGGCAATAAAACAAACACCTAACAATTGAAGACAAGCATGACACCCCCAGAATTTAGGGGCTCTACACCAGCTAGACCTGAACACCCCACAGCAGATGAAGCAGAAGAGAATGACTTAAAAAATATCTTCATAAACATGATGGAGGCCCTCAAAGAAGATGTAAGAAAATCCCTTAAAGAAATAGAAGAAAAAGCAAACAAAAAAATTGGAAGAAATGAACAAATGTCTTTTAAAAAAAAAGTATGAAAACCCAAGAAAAAACAATTAAACAGGTGAAGGAAACATTTCAAGTCTTGAAAACTGAAATAGAGATAATAAGCAAAACACAAACTGAAGGAATTCTGGAAATAGAAAAACTGGGCAAACTATTGGGAACTACAGACACAAGCATAACAAACAGAAAATAAGAGATGGAAGAGAGAATCTCAGGCACTGAAGATAAACTAGAGGAAATTGATTCATTGACCAAAGAAAATCTAAAATCCAACAAATCATTAATGAAAAACATCCAGGAAATGTGGGACACAGTGAAAAGGCCAAACCTAAGAATAATAGATATAGAGGAAGGTGAAGAAGCCCAGCTCAAAGGTACAGAAAACATATTCAACAAAATCATTCCTATATGGATTTTAGACATAGAGCAAAGGATCACCAGCCTATAATTCACACTGCCAGAGAAACTATGATACAAGGAGGATTCTAAGAGATTCATATAAAGTCCCTCACAGAAGGGAGAAGGGACAAGATCTCCAGAGCAAATGGGGAGCGGGGGTGGTGGAGGAGTGAGTGGAGAGGGAACTAGGAGAAAGAGAAGAGGAGGAGAGGGAAGCACATGGGACTAGAAAGATTGAGTAAGGGGAGGAATAGATGAGAAAAAAGGGAGGGAGGGAGAGAGAGAGAGAGAGAGATCATAAAAGAGGGAGCCATTATAGGTTTGAAGAGAAAACTGAACCTAGAGAAATGTCCATAGATCTACAAGACTGACTCCAACTATCAATTTGAGCAACAGTGGAAATGCTACCATAAATGCCCTTTCCTGATAATGAGATTGATGACTAACTAATCCACCATCATGGAGCCCTCATCTAGTAGCTATTGGAAACAGAAGCAAACACCCACAACTAAACACTGAGCATGAGAGGGTAGGAGAGAAGGAAAGAGGGAGGGAGAGAGAGGGAACTGGGTTCGATAGGTAAAATAAAAATAAATGAATATAAAAAAATGACAGAATATCAATAGGTTGGATCAGAAAATAAAGTCTCCATGTTATATAATAATCAAAACACTAAAAAAAACTAACAAAGAAATATATTAAATGCTACAAGGGAAAAAAGATAAGTAACATAAAAATGACAACTAACTTTTCTTTTTCACTTGATATTTTAATTTTTTTTATATATTGATCCCAGTTCCCTCTCCCTCTTTCCTTCCCATGCTCCCTGACAACCCTACCATCATATCACCCACTCCACCCCTACTCCATCCCCACTCCACCC